GTATCTTAAATTTCAGTCTTCATAGCCCAGATCAATTTCAAATAAAAAACGTCTTTTCCGCCTACAGCATAACATTTAAAACGGGCTTAACACTCAAGAGTTAGGATGGATTGAAATGAGCCACTTCTATAGCGAAGTCTAAATTAAAGTACACCAATAAAGAACTATTTGAAAAAACAAATTAAAAAAATCGTCCCCTATACCTTGACATAATTTGTTTATGGTCCAACAGTCAGACTTAATTAAATAAAACTTTTTCTATCTGATTAAGACATGCTAATGTAGTTGCTTAAAAGATATAAAATGGTGAGTATAGTGTTTATGGTCCACTTGATGTAATTGTCCACTTTCGGAAAATATCGTTTTTTTACACAGGGTGATCTGAAAGCCCCGGAACGGCAAGATATTTTAGAATATTTAGGGTAAAGGTAAACTAGCCGTGTTTTAGGATTTTTACCTGGATAGTCTATCAAATAAAGATATAAACGTTTTGTTTTAAATTGGACCCTATACTTTTACCTCAGAAATGGATAGAGCAGAAAATATTAAGTTCGTGAACGTCTGTGGTCAAGGTCATGCCTGTAAAATGTTCCGCTCTATCCGTGACTAAAGTATAAGGTATCATGCAAAAACTTGTCTGGATTAAGATTTTTCCATCACTCAAGGTAAATGTAATTCAATGAAAAAATAAAACCCCTTTGAATCCTGACGCCTTCCATAGAAAGATCCTCAAATCCTTTCGAACGAGTGTTTGTTACGGTGACCTTGACCAGGACGTTCAAATTGAAAAACAATTTTCATCAAAGGTTATATAAAATTTCTCTCTATTTTCGCGGTCAAAGTACAGGGTACCAGACAAAACAGTCTTGAACACGATTTGACCTTAAAAGTCATGGTCAAGGTCTCCGCTAAATAGCCGGGGAAGCATCCTATACCAGCGCTGCCTTTAGGTCCTGATTTTTTATCCATTTCTGACAGATCCATGAAATCTTTTTAATCCAGGGTTTCTCACTACGACCTTGATTATTACGTTCAAAGTCACTATAATTTTACCAAAGCTCTTATCAAAATATAGAATTTTCCGCTCGATATTCTTCTGGGGACAAAACTATCGGGCTCAAAAAATCGTCTTGACCTTCACGCTCAAGGTTACCACTGAATGGAAATGGATGTTTTCCGGATTTCATGAAGTGGAATATTACATAAAATACCCCCATCACATGATATCTAAACAATAATGTGTGTGTGTGTCATACTAAATAATGGCCTTGTGAAAATTGTTGTCAATTCATCATAGCTACGACTAATAACATGTTTTATCTTTAACAAATAAATTATGAAAGTAGTACTTGATACACCTATCTTTGAATCTAGCATTTTAATATTTCAAGGAAAAGATGATGCAAAATCTCAAGTTTATCAATTCAGATCATAAATCAATTAATAACATGATAATTATTATCTATAATAAATTGATACGGAGGGTCGCAAAAAATACACATAGTATCGCAAACGCCCAAGTATTATGGAATTTTAAAGAGAAGGCCCAAATGGTGGTTGGTCCGAATTTTTAAGTTGAAGTAGTCAGAGTTTTTTCTGGCAATTTTACATGAATATTCTTGATAAATTCAACTAAAAAAATCAGACTATACTATAGTTATATAGGTGCCTAAAAATATAACTTCAGTTGTAACTATGATTGAATTCCAAGTAAAAATAAACCGACTAGAAAATATATATAATACAGGGTGCGGCAGAGAGGATGGACGGTTTTAAAAAAATCATAAAATAGTTTTTACTCGAAAACAAATTTATTGATGGAATCAGGTTCACAAGGAAATAGCATTTGAGACAGTCAAGTGTGGAAAATCACATCAGGCATGTGGTGGCCGAAATCGTTGATGCAGTGCAGGAGGCGTTCTTGGAAGTTCGCGTAGACTCTCTCCAACATCGCTCTATCAACTTGGGCGACTTCCACGCGATATTCGCCCTTCCATTCGTCCAGAGTTCGGGGCTTGTTCGCGTATACTCTTGAGGTGTCCCCATAAGAAAAAATCGCTTATGGATAAATCTGGGGACCGAGGAGGGCAATGAACATCGCCAAACCTGGAAATAAGGCGACCAGGGAAGAGAGGGCGAATAACGTCCATGGATGCTCGGGCTGTGTAGGCGGTTGCCCCATCCTGCTGGAACCACGACGATGACTGACTCATTATTTCGGACGAAACAATCATAGGGAAAACGCGGTGCTCCACCGTCCAAGGCTCCATAACAACTGGTAAAATAATGCTAGGATCTCACGAGTCAAACGACACCCTCCCCACCTCTCTCGTAGACGGAGAGTACTACCCATCCCAAAAACGTCCGTCCTTTCTGCCGCACCCTGTATTTTAATCAAAAACTGCATCAACAAGTTATGCTGTTTTTCCTGGCATATCGAACTCATCATACATAATAAACATACTAAACACCCACCCTCCGAAGTACATACGTCGATTCAAAAATACAGACGTTAAAAAAAATTGGAAATATATGAGATGGCACATAGATGCACTTAGTGCTGTCGTATTTCGACTCTATACCTTTGATAAAGGATGCTTTTGCTTCGTTCATTGTCCAATGTGAAAACAATGTTGATTGTTTTCTTTGATTCTCGGGGCATTGTTCACTAGGAATTTGCCCCTCCCGGCCAGACAGTGAACGAAAATTTCTACATTGAAATTTTGCGTCGTCTCAAAGCTCGTGTCACCCGAGTTCGACTGGATTTCGCACATGGAGGCAGGTGGATCCTTCATCACGACAACGCGATTTAGGTTACGTAAAATTTCCCGCTCTATTTCCGCGGTCAAAGTACAGGATACCACACAAAACAGTCTTGAACACGTTTTAACCTTAAAAGTCATGGTCAAGGTCTCCGCTAAATAGTCAGGAAAGCATCCTATACCAGCGCTGTCTTTAGGTTCTTATTTTTTATCCATTTCTGACAGATCCATGAAATCTTTTTAATCTCACTACGACCTTGATTATTACGTTCAAGGTCTATATGCTTCTGGGGACAAAACTATCGGGCTCAAAAAATCGTCTTGACCTTCACGCTCAAGGTTACCACTGAATGGAAATGGAGGTTTTCTGGATTTCATGAAGTGGAATATTACATAAAATACCCCCATCACATGATATCTAAACAATAATGTGTGTGTGTGTGTCATACTAAATAATGGCCTTGTGAAAATTGTTGTCAATTCATCATAGCTACGACTAATAACATGTTTTATCTTTAACAAATAACTTATGAAAGTAGTACTTGATACACCTATCTTTGAATCTAGCATTTTAATATTTCAAGGAAAAGATGATGCATAATCTCAAGTTTATCAATTCAGATCATAAATCAATTAATAACATGATAATTATTATCTATAATAAATTGATACGGAGGGTCGCAAATAATACACATAGTATCGCAAACGCCCAAGTATTATGGAATTTTAAAGAGAAGGCCCAAATGGTGTTTGGTCCGAATTTTTAAGTTGAAGTAGTCAGAGTTTTTTCTGGCAATTTTACATGAATATTATTGATAAATTCAACAAAAAAAAATCAGACTATACTATAGTTATATAGGTGCCCAAAAATATAACATCAGTTGTAACTATGATTGAATTCCAACAAGTAAAAATAAACCGACTAGAAAATACTATTATGCTTAGCGTCTTAATACTGCTGAATCTTTTCCGGTTAAACAAATTGCATAACATGTTTTTGCAGAAGATCGCCTCAATAGACAAGTATTACTACAAAATTGCTGGTTTTCCTTCCTTTAGAATCTTGTCTTTTAAATACATCTAAAAATATCCACAAATTTGTCGCTTTCAACAGAGGCAGCTCTTGAACATAGATCTTTTGAAAAAATATGCAATGTTTCGTTACAGAGATCGTGGAATTTGTGCAAGAAAATTCTTATTTTCATCATAAACTGCATCAACATATTATGCTGTTTTTCCTGGCATATCAAACTCATCATACATAATAAACATATAAACACCCACCCTCCAAAGTACATACGTCGATTTAAAATTACAGACATTAAAAAAAAATTGGAAATATAGGAGATGGCAGATAGATGCGCTTTGTGCTGTCGTATTTCGACTCTATACCTTTGATAAAGGATGTTTTTGCTTCGTTCATTGTCCAATGTGAAAACAATGTTGATCGTTTTCTTTGATTCTCGGGGCATTGTTCAGTAGGAATTTGTCCCTCCCGACCAGGCAGTGAACAGAAATTTCTACATTGAAGTTTTGCATCGTCTCAGAGCTCGTGTGGCTCGAGTTCGACTGGATTTGGCACAAGGAGGCAGGTGGATCCTTCATCACGACAACGCGATTTAACCCCTTGCCACTTTTTGTTACCAAAATGCAAAATGGTGCTTCGGGGGCAGCACTTGGGGGATGTGGAAGCCATCAAGGCAGAAACAACACGGCAAATGAAGAACCTCACAATTGATGACTTTCAGCGATCGTATCAACAGTGGAAACGGCGTTGGCAGAAGTGCATCTTGTCTCAGGGGACGTACTTTGAAGGAGACCATATTGAAATACCTGAACAACTGTAAAATAAAGTCATCATTCCACTTTTATACGTACTTTCCGTAGTCGTATAGTAATACAGTAACTGACATAACTAATGTTTCACACAGTTTCAGTTTTATATTTGTATATACGGATGAAATTGCTTCAAAATGCAGTATGAAGCACTACATAATGAATTCACATGCTTTTTGTATTTCAGATCTGTGTCAATCCAAGTCCCAAGTTTTTACACTCACTCATAGGAAGCCGACTATAATAGATTTTAAGGTTAATTTCTGTTTCGATCGATTTTATTTTGTTATTTGAAGTTACCTTTCATAATCATCATATTATGTAAGGGAGGGGGATTAAATGATACGACTATTTTGTTAAATTCACAAATATTCTATTTTTATTATAAATATTTATGAAAGGAAAACAAACTGGAAAAAATACATCTACTTACAAGCTACATTAAAATAAATATGTACAATAGGTATCTTAAATTTCAGTCTTCATAGCCCAGATCAATTTCAAATAAAAAACGTCTTTTCCGCCTACAGCATAACATTTAAAACGGGCTTAACACTCAAGAGTTAGGATGGATTGAAATGAGCCACTTCTATTGCGAAGTCTAAATTAAAGTACACCAATAAAGAACTATTTGAAAAAAATAAATTAAAAAAATCGTCCCCTATACCTTGACATAATTTGTTTATAGTCCAACAGTCAGACTTTTGAAAATAAAACTTTTTCTATCTGATTAAGACATGTTAATGTAGGTGCTTAAAAGATAAAATGGTGAGTAGTGTTTATGATCCACTTGTAATTGTCCACTTTCGGAAAATGTCGTTTTTTACACAGGGTGATCTGAAAGTCCCGGAACGGCAAGATATTTTAGAATATTCAGGGTAAAAATAAGGCGTGTTTTAGGATTTTTACCTGGATATTCAGTGATGATCTTGAATATGACCTTGACTATCTTATTATAATAAAAACGTTTTGTTTTAAATAGGACCCTATACTTCTACCTCAGAAATGGATAGAGCAGAAAATTTTAAGTTCAGATATTGATCTTGAACGTCTGTGGTCAAGGTCACGCCTGTAAAATGTTCCGCTCTATACGGATCCAAGAACTAAAGTATAGGGTATCAAGCAAAAAACGTGTCTAGATAATGATTTTCCCATCACTCATGGTAAATGTCACATTCAAGGTCACAGTGAATAGCCAATGAAAAAATAAAACCCCTTTGAATCCCAACGCCTTCCTTAGAAACATCCTCAAATCTTTTAGAACGAGTGTTTTTTACGATGACCTTGACCAGGATGTTCAAAGTCAAAACAATTTTCATAAAAGATCACGTAAAATTGTTCGCATTATTTTCGCGGTCATACTTACAGGGTATAAGACAAAACAGTCTTGAACACGATTTCGACCTTAAAGAGTTAAGCCCTCCGCTGCATAGCCAGGACAACGTGTTACATTACCAACAATGTCTTTATTTTTTATATAAATTCAGAAAGATCCATGAAATCTTTTCAAAAAAGAGTTTTTCACTGTGACCTTGATTGATTATGACGTTGAAGGTCAAAGTGATGTTTACCAAAGCACTTATTTAAACGTAAAATTTTCCCCTCTATCTGCTTTCGAGGACACAAGTATAGGGTTAAATTTTAAAAGATCGTCTTGACCTCCACGCTCAAAGTTACTCCTGAATAGCGAAGGAAAAATCCTAAACTATTTTAGTTTTAATTTACCCTTTGAATTGTTACACTTTATCCTTAGAAAAAAATCTCAATTCACTTCAAATAGACGTTTTTTACGATGACCTTGACCAGGACGTTCAAAGTAAAAACAATTTTATTTTCGTGGTCAAAGTACAGGTAACTAGACAAAATAGCCCTGAACACGATTTGACCTTAAAGGTCATGGTTAAGGTCTCCGCTGGATAGCCATACCTATATCTTTTATCTAACTTCAGAAAGATTCATGAAATCTTTTCAAACGAGGGTTTCTCACGGTGACCTTGATTAGGACGTTCATAGATCCATAAGGACGGTTAAGGACAAAGTAATGTTTACCAAAGCACTTATTTAAATGTAAAATTTTCCGCTCTATCTGCTTTCGGAGACAAAAGTATAGGGTTACATTTGAAAAAATCGTCTTGACCTTCACGCTCAATTTTAATTTACCCTTTGAATAATCCCAAATATCTTGCCGAAAATTATGGCTAAAGGCATTGATTAACGTATCATACCTTAAGAAAGGCAAGATATCCTAGATGAAATAAGATACCACGGATCATCAATGAGAATTTGTCACATAATTCTCCTTTCCCCAATAATTAGAAATCTGGTCTGATAGATGACGCTTTGCGTTGTCTTATTTCGATAAGCCCTACCTCCGGTATAGAGGGTACTTGCAGTGCTTTCGTTAGTTCGTCCAGAGACAAAACAGCAAGCCTAGACCATGCTGATGAGTAGCTAAGAAGCACGAAACAGCTGTCCATGGTTGGCTGTCTTTTTGGTCGGATGGACGAAAGCATCATGTTCGGTTTCATTAGAATTCTGTTTTGAAAAGGTTAGTGTCTCAAAGATGGTGCTGTAGCCAAATATATGAGCATATCCTCAGGTAGAAGAAGTCAATCAATGGTAATGTATAATTTTGAACATAACTAACATTTATCTTGACTGATCTAAAAGCGTTGATGATATATGAGACTTTCAAATCATGAACATGAAAATGATGTTTTTCGGAAATTTCTTGAAGTTGGAACATGACTAGTATATCATGATTTCATGAAGTGGACTATTACAAAAAATAGATTCATCACATGATATCTAAAGAATAATGTGTGTGTGTCATACTCAATAATGGCCTTGTAAAAAATGTGTTGATATTCATCATAGCTACGACTAACACAATATTTTATCTTTAACAAATAACACACTTATCTTTGAATCTAGCATTTTATTATTTCAAGGAAAAGATGACGATGCATAATCTCAATGTTTATCAATTCAGATCGTAATCAATGAATAATAAGTTGATAATTATCTATAATAAATTGATACGAAGGATCGCAAAAAATACACATAGTATCGAAAACGACCACATATTATGGAATTTTAAAGATAAGGCCTTACAGCCAGATGTCATCTGGTGTTTGGTCCGTATTTTTAAGTTGAGTCAGAGTTTTTTCTGGCAGCTTTACATGGAAATGCTTGATAAATTCAACTAAAAAAATCAGACTATACTATCGTTATATAGCTGCCCAAAAATATAACATCAGTTGTAACTATGACTGAATTCCAACAAGTAGAAATAAACCGACTAGAAAATACTATTGTGCTTAGCTTCTTAATACTGCTGAATCATTTCGGGTTAAACAAACCGCATAACATGTTGTTTTGCAGAAGATCGCCTCAATAGACAAACAAGTATTACGGCAAAATTGGGGGTTTTCCTTCTTGTAGAATCTTGCTTTGTAAATACATCTAAAAATGTCCACAAATTTGTTGCTTTCAACAGAGGCAGCTCCTGAACATAGTCTTTCGAAAAAATATGTGATGTTTCGTTACAGAGATCGTGAAATTTGTGCAAGAAAATCCTTATTTTCATCAACAACTGCATCAACATGTTATGCTGTTTTTCCTGGCATATCTAACTCATCATACATAATTAACATACTAAACACCCACCCTCCAAAGTACATACGTCGATTTAAAAATACAGACATTAAAAAAAATTGGAAATATATGAGATGGCAAATAGATGCACTTTGTGCTGTCGTATTTCGAATTTATACCTTTGATGAGGATGCGTTTGCTTCGTTCATTGTCCTGCCTCGAGACTCGCACCGTGCTGATGATTTATAGTAAGCATGAAACATGGTCGATCGGACGGACAAAGTCGATATTATCAATACGTTATAGATACCAGCATATAAGTAACGCAAGCTTTAGCTTTTAGTGGATTACATCCAGTTTTTTTATACCGAAGCAGCAGCGCAGGCAGTAGCCTAAATAATAGGCCATCGCGGCTGTTATATGAGGAGCTTAAAGAAAATTGTTAATCCGATTTTTGAACTGCCTAAGGTTTGTAGAACTGGGAAAAACCTCCTCGGGTAGACTGTTCCAGAATCTCGATACCCTAGGGACAAAGGAGCGGTCGTATCTGCCAGGTTAGGCTGTACGAAGTTGGACACGGTGAGAGAGGAGGTAGAAGAGAGCTACATCGCTGAAAGCCGCTCAGTGCGAAAGGAACACGAGACTGTCAGCTAGAGAACAGTCATTGAGTCGCATATCCCTCCTGAATATCATCGAGTATGGATAACGTAGTAGGAGTGGCAGCACCGAGGCTAGGTATTATCTCTACAGTGTAAGAAGGTTCTATCTATCTCATTCTTCTGCCGACGAGCAGTGTCTCACGATGTCTTCCTACATCCTAACGTGGATAATTTCGGTTATTGACGAACAGCCAGCCGGGTCAGCGAGACAAACATCTCTCCAAGGAAAGGTGCAGAAAAAGTCTCTGAGCCTTGAGTTATTTGGTGTATAAGAATCCCGCCCAAAAAAACGACTGTTCAAATAAACCTATATGTCATTTCATTAGTTACTCAACAATTCAACTTCTTGTTTTTTAACAAAGTATTGTATAGAGTGAATCTGATTACTTGCAAGGAATCACTTTCCACCGAAATTCCCTTGAAAATACTCAATTATAAAGGCGGAAAACATTATGGTTATGTCATGTAAACTCATGAGCCATTACGCAAACTCACGTATCAAAATATAAATTGATGGAAGCATGGCTGTCTAAGGTGGCACTAATATATTCCTAAATACACGCCCCTATTTGCGTAAGCAGGGTTCCACCGTGAGTTTATTATATCTAGTCAGTTTGAGCTCGTGAGTTCAGATGACATGACGATGTGTTCCTACCTTAAAGAACACATTATTATGTACAGAATAAGCATTATGTTACAAATAGTACAAAACGTCTTTTAAATAGTTATCGTGGTATAGTACGGAGTTCGACATACATTCACAAACACGCACATCAAGTAAATCAACGGACAGACGATTCAAATTCGAAAGAACTTTCCATTTTCTCAAATAAATTAATACACTACGAATCAGGATTGGTCAGTGTCAGCGTTGTTCACTAGCAGCTGTCTGGAATTCCCTGCTGTAAAAAGAAAAAAAAGGGTAAGTATATGGAAATAAGTTTAGAGCAGTAAGCTGATATTTACACAGCAATGAAACTCAAAGTGGCAGCGATGTCCGATTTTGCTCTCGCTAGGCGGCGTTTGTTGGGGGTTCAAGCTGTCAGATGTAGATGGCAAAAAGACAGATTTGATAGAAGGGTGAATGGAAAAAAGACATATTTGACATACAGGAAATGAGACAAATTCATATGATAGACAGGTAACCTATATGACGTATATTGACGTAAACAGCTGATCAGCAATTGACATGTTTTTGTTTATTCATAGCCAGATATTCTCTATCTCGATAGTTGATTTCGTTTTGGTGTCTAAAGTTTTTGACAAAATTATTGGAGTATTTTGTAGTATTTTAGTGTGTGTAAGAGCAGCTGTGCTTAAGATCGGTCTGCCCAGTATGCAATTATTACTATGGAGCTATAGCTCCGTATATAGTTCAGTTACTTGATTTGCTTACTTATTTCGTGTGGCATTGATGACGTAACCGCCGAAAATAAACAACGAAGTAATACACTTACAAAGCACGATATGTGAAATGCACATAAAGATCGTGGAAGGTTACGTTGAATTTTTTTGACATTTTTCAATGCGCAGATGCTCTAATCCATGTTATATTTCCGAGAGTCGCACCATCCTTGGTGATAGGATTGGCTTCATACGCAATTTAGCCTCCTATCCGAGCCTTCGTGAAAAAAAAAACACAACTATACGACTGTGTCAACAGATCTGGCGTTGACAGATCCGTCAGAAATGTGTCACTTGCCAATATGAGTATTAATCGTTTCTCGTGGCTGGCGCTGCATTGTCGTCAGTGAAGTATACGTTTAAATAGTGGTTCTCTTCGGCAGGTGAGGTAAAAGTGAGCTCCCGGAATTCAATGTCGAGCGCTCCATTGCTGTGTAGTATTAATTATGATATGGTGAAGTATTGGGTATTCATTGGGAATATCGCATGTAGACCGGGAACCGGTCAAACTTAGGAGTGACGATATTAGTCAAGCATGCTATTCAATTTTATACCCAATGCTTCATTGAAACAGTTGGTGAGTAACAAAAAGAAAGGCCGAAAAATTAAAGGAACGATACAGTGTGCAAACTGTCAGGTTGTGTACGTTTATAAATGAGTACATAAAATTATCATCTTGTAACTTAAAATGTCTATTGCACAAATTCTATAGGGTAATTGGTGTTGAGAAAAAATCAGCAATGGCAATACAATTATTTTTTTCTTTCACTTGTGTGATGGACTGGACTATATTATACATATTTTGACTTATAATTTGTTAAAGCACATACGGTGTCCCATTTTCATCTCCCCACCTTAATATTTAGAAAACTGCTCATTCTATAAAAAAAATCAAACAAAAGTTGCAGGGTGGCAGTATGACGGTGACCTTGAGAATGATCTTAACTACGACCTTTGAGGTCATTCAGGTCAAGTTCTTTTAAACGGAACTCCCTCATTACGCATCGGGAAGAAAAAGAGAAGCACATTTTACTCCCGCTCATTACCTTGGCCATGACCGTGACCATTGTCTTCAAGGCCATTCAAAGGTCGAATGACAAAATCGGAAACAATTTGCTCTATCAAAAATGTTCAGACAACAGCACAGTTGTAAGGTTTGTAGGGTTCATCCAAAAGTGACGTTGACAATTACCTTCAAGGCCAAGTCAAAATGTTCAAAGGAAACCTGTAATTTTTATACTGGTAAAGGAAAAAGTACCTTGACCTCAAATACAAGGTCATATCAAGCTTAAAGCTTATTTGAGGTCAAAGTTATATTCGGATGTAAAATGTCCTTTTTCCATTTTCGATGTAAAAATCAGAGGTTTCCTTTGGAAATTTTGACTTGGAGGTCATGGTCAAGATCACTCTTTGGGCGATCCTCACAAAACTCACAACTGATTTGTTGAATATTATTACAAGAACAAATTGTTTTCCGAGTCTTGATCTGACCTTGGCATGTCCTTGAAGGCGATGGTGAAGGTCACAGTCAAGGTATAGTAAAATTTGATCCTATTTTCGATTCTGATGCGAAAAAGTGGAGGCTCTATTTGCAAATATTATCTTGACCTTGAAGGACGTAGTCAAGGTCATTGGCAACGTCACCATCAATTTGCCTCCTCGAAACCCTACAGCTTTCGTTTGAAACTTGTTTTTCTAAAATGCGCAATTTTAAAATATCCAAGCGGGGAGATTAACAGACAATGTACAACAGACAAGTATCTTCATCACGAAAAAAATTGCAAATTAGACAACAATAATGGTTGATATCTGAAGTAAAACTCGTAATATATATTGTATATCCATGGATTGTAGAAATTATGAGGGGCGTCTACTTTAGGATATGAATGCTAACGAAGTACGATTGTAGTGGCTTAGAAAAAACCGCTAAATGGCCGTTGTACCATTCCTTTATACATAGAAATTCAAATATCACTGAGGAAGTAATGTGCAAGAGAGAGAAGCGCAAGAGGCGTATAACACGTATGTTAGAAAGAATGCGCTGATGGTAACGCGGCAAAACGCAGCTCTGTCCGTTGCCTCGTCATCCGGGTTGCTAGCCAACATTCTTCTATCTCTTTCTAACATACGTATTGCACGCTTCTCTCTCGTACACATTATGTCAGTGGTACATGGATTTCTCAGTATGGGCGGCTTTTGCCGCTGGCACGTATCCTGCGAAGTGTAAATTTTTGTCCAAACTTGCAATTTTCTACGTATCATGGATGCGATAGACAAGATGTAAGACCCGACACCAAACTCAATTTCAACAAGCACAGATCCGTCACCAGAATAACCATCACAGTCCCAAAAACTGACAAGAAATGTACCTCTTATTTTACATCATTACCCATCGGTACTTGTTCTTCCTGTACTATTTGCTCGTGATGTGTTGTGCCTAATTATTCAAGAAATAAAAAAAAATAAATAAAAAACTTGCTAATGAAACAGTAAACTTTTTTATTATCTTATATGTATAAAGGGCGCTATTGAATTTTTTCATATTGCTTTTTGACTTTCAGGAATATATTTTCAGCAGTATATAGGCTCTGCTCACCTAAAAATGTTATTTTCGAAATTACATTTTTATTGTCCTTTGCTTACTCGCTAATCAAAATACATCTTATTTTGAATAAAAAAAAACAGGAAACAACTGACTAAAAATGAACGTTATCTCAAGTTAAAAATAACGAATTTCAGTTTGAGGTTAAATTCAAATTATTCTTTGTCAAATGTATAAGTGATGCTTACCATGTACAGCTTCTTCAACTTTATGTTTGTCCTTGACAATGTAGAAAGCTGTGATAAGGAAGAACAGACCACCTATCACTTCGACGAAACACGTCGAAAACAACGCATACTGCAGCGATTTGAACTTATTAACATCTGGACTTTCATTGTTATCCTTCATTCCAATGATAAATGCTTCTGATAACTGAAAAATTAAAATACATGATCAGACTGGAAAAACAACATTTTTAACTTTAGTTAAAAGGCACATTTCCATTTGATAATGCAATGCTGTTGCCTTTAGTCAGAAAGTATACAAGGTGCGGCATCATAATTTCCTTTTCTAAAATGCGGGCCATTCAGTTGGGTGATGCCGTAGCGGAGCGCCTAGCGGTCTCGTTAGAAAGGCGGGACTATAAAGTTGTGTCCCGACACAGTTCAGTCGCCATCATGCGTTGGAGAGGAGCGTACTTTTGCCGTCGAGGACTACTTTTCTGTGATCGCCTTTCGGAATCGCTCCAATTTAGTACCTGTTCTGGACAGGAAATCAATTCTTACGTCGGTCACTACGTTCAGACAAACTGCAAGTGCGACTAGTCGAAGAACAGGAGTCCCTTGGACAATTAGATCGCTTGAAAAGATTGAGGCAGTGACAGCTTCAATGTTTCGTTCTCCACGGCATTCTGCGCGCAAACATGCGTCTGCCCTTGGACTTTCCGATCGTTCTGTGAGGAGAATTCTTTATGGTGATCTTCATTTCGATCCTTACAAGATGGCAAACTTTCCGAACGTGACTTCAATCATCGGATGAACGCGTGTGAGCGTCTTCTCGAAGTCGTTTCTGATGGCGCTATGATGCAAGCCCAGTTTCATTTGTCTGGATCCGTCAACGAACAAAACATGTGCTACTGGGGTGACATTAATTTTATTATTATTATTTTAATATTATTAATTTTAATAATTGGTTTACTAGTGTTTGGAGAATGGGGGAAATCACCTATCTGATTTATTGTTCAAAACTATATAAAACAAAACTTTAGGCATGCATCTACGTCATAAAAAATAAATAAAAATATTCTGCATCATGCAATGGGTTTTGTTACGTTTTGAAAAAAGGAAATTATGCTGCTGGACCCTGTATACCTACAGTACCGAGCAAAAGTAGAGAAACAAACCACCTTACAAATAAAAATCCAGAAAGATTTACTCTAACCCAACACTAAAGTTTTTTATGTATGACTACCTCAAGATAATGACATGCTTATCTTTGTATACATTTCTTTTTTTTTCAATATGATATGGTCGGTTCTTTGTTCAACGAGCAAAAGTAGAGAAACATTTAGTTTATATTTAGTCATTGATCAGAATAGGTGTTATTTTTGAGTGTATTTGGTAAAGTGTAGTTCAAAAATATGGCCAGAGGAATTACATTGAATTTGCAAATAAAAGAATTGATTATTTTAAAATATCGATCAGGCATTCAACAAGCAACCATAGCCAAACAGCTGAATTTAAGCCGATCAGTGATTTGCAAAACTCTTAAGCTGTGCCGCCTCAGAAAATCGTTGGTAAGCCCTCCTAAGACTGGTAGACCGCGAAAAACCACACCTAGGACTGATAGGAAAATTAAAACACTTGCTCTTAAAAATCCATTTACTACTGCTGTCGACATAAAAGCTCAAGTTGAAGAAGTAAATATTGGTGTCCACACTGTTCGAAGACGTTTAAGGGAGAGTGATTTACCAAGGAGACCATCTAAAAAACCCTTTATTTACCAAGAAAAATCGGACCGCCCGTCTTCAATTTGCTTACGATCATTTGAACTGGTCAGAAACAAGGTGGAATTCAGTATTATTTTCTGATGAAAGTAAATTTAATTTATTTTCATCGGATGGCATTTTATGGGTAAGACGTCCTAAAAACAAGCGATTTGATCCTAAGTTCACTTTGGGTTCAAATGGGACCCATCGTCAAAATTGAAGGAATTATGGACGGGTACAAATACTTGGAAATATTAACTGATACCTTACGCAGAAAGGAAACATGCCTCTACGTTTGCGGTTCCAGCACGACAACGACCCCAAGCACACAGCGAAAATAATAAAAACATTTTTTGCAGATCACAATATTAATGTCATTAAGCCCAGAGTCCACACCTTATCCCCATAGAGAACCTATGGGATTTAGTTGATAAAACAATTCGGACTGAACATCCAGAAAAGTTCAAAAATAGTGTCGAACTGTTTGAAACAATCGAAGTCGCCTAGAATTCTATTCCAAAAGAAACAACAGATAGCCTGATTGGGTCTATGAGAAAAAGATGTCTAGCAGTTATCAAAAATAAGGGTTATGCATCCAAGTATTAGCTTCTTTGTATACGTCAATTGCTTTGTATATTACGTTTCTCTATTTTTGCTCGCTGTATTTTCTAATAATAATTGTTAGCATAGTTTTATTAAAACAGAATTTTTATTTTCGTGTTGGCTTTGAATTACATGTTACATTAAGTTATAATAAAACATAAGTGTTTAGTTTACTTTAATAGTTTAATAAAATCTTTGAAAAAATAAAATGTTTCCCCACTTTTGCTCAACCACTGTCAAAACCACACATCACTTAAGTACCATTCAAGAGACAATTGACGACCTTAAATTCGATCACATAGCGGAAATGTACTTTAACCAGGATATTGTAGATACTTACAACTCCTATTAAGTAGGGACTGCCTGCATCCCCTAGGGCATGTGACACAAGCAGTTGGAAGCCCTCAGCTGTCGATCGTCTGGTTGGCAGTACTACGTACTGTCAAGATGAAAACAAAATTATTTAAAAACCAATAGTCGGATACGTTGAAAAATACTAATTCACTATACTACTGAAATGTGCGTGCATTCTATGATACAATGGTTGTTTTAGACAATATGATGAACATGATATCACGTACAATGCTCTATTGATGAAGTTTCTAATGATAATGAAGATGAAATATGTCATGAAAGAATTACAGCGATTCAGTGTCATGAATTCTAAAACATCAGCATTAAGTATTAAGGGGAGGCTGTCTAGTTAGGGATAACAATGTCAAAGGCAATGATTGGGAGAATATGCAATTTAAGGTTAAAAAAAATTGAATTGCAATTGTTAATAAACTAAATCGATAGATATTTCGCTTTAGGCCTTATATACCGTATTTCACGAGTATCCATCACAGTAGAATGACAGCTGATTATCTAGTAATATCTCAAAATTCCCCATATCGGCACAGGACGCATAATTCTGACGGATCCGTCAACGTCAGGTAGACAGCCTGTTGTTTTGTTTTTTTGTACGCTACTGAATCATTTGATACTTGCTAACAGCTCTCTCTTTAGAAAAGTTTATTTGCATACAAAAAACAAAACGCCACAAACAAGTTTTACTAGATTTATACCCGATTCATGATTGCCAACGTTGTAGCCTAACACAAAAATGTTACTTGCTGATCGGCTGTTCACGTCAGTAGATGTCAAATCATGATGATACTCGTGAAATAGGGTATAAGTTAATTAGCCATGGGATGCCATACACATTTTGAGAATAAATTCTATTTTGATTAAGCGAGAAACACACAACTATATGAAATGATATAACTTGTTTACATAAAAGAGAAACGTATGCTTGAAATTAAATTTTGTATAACCTCAAATTGCGCATTCGACCAATCGTCGGTGTATTTGACATGGTTGCCAATTTTCTAGACAGCCCAGGTACCGTTAATATTGTCTAAAACGGAATTAATGCAATGCTGTCAACAACTATATGCTCATGCCTTTTGATCGAGGGTCATAACAACAGGGGAAAGGTAGAAGTAGATGGCGCTAGTTAGGTTGGAGGTCATGTGTTAAATTATAAAAAGATAGAGATGAGAATTTCTGATCAGCTGTTCACGTCACTAGATATCATTACGTGATGAAATCGTTAAAAATATGTTACCTTCCTATTAGCATTTTAACATGAACAATTTATTTTTTCCAGGCCAACCTCACTGTGCTTTGCAATTAACAAATTGAAAAGTGCCAACCACAAAAAATTCTTGCTAGAAATATTTTGAATTTTTATGTTTATTGTGGTTTTGATCTTGAGACGAATCTCACAAAGAGAAACCTTATTGTTGAATACTGTAGCTCTATTAAAGTTTTATACTTGAACTAAAAAGATGTTCAATATAAAGAAAGAGAGTACAAGGTTGGCACCATGGACAAGGAGTTCGACGTTCATCTTGGTAAAAATTAGAGCAGGTTCTAAATGCGTGAAAAAATCCACGAAGAAATTCATGGAATTATTTATTTTCTATTATGTATCAATTCCTCTTTTATACATTTGAAATTTGGCCATGAACTTAATTGAGGTAGAAATAGACTAATTGTCAATGTAAAACGGGTATATCAAATCTGTTTTTTTCCCATCCACTTTTGACAGTTTGACCTCCAACCACACGAGTGCCGCCTAGCGGGAGTAAAATTGGATATCGCTGCCATTGAATATAGCTCGTATTGATTATGACTAACGCCATATACTATATCTAATCATATTAGACGAAAATGCCACTGGTTTGCGAAATAATTGTAAAGTCTGGTTTTATTGCTGCAAGTTGATCAAGGGGGTATTTAAAACATGGACGCATGAAATGGGTACACCAATTTTTGTGCGAAAACTATTGCTTCGACAACAAAGAATGAGAAAACGTGTATTTTGGGATTCAATCGAAAGTGTTGTCAGGAACGGAAAAACTCTTTATATAAAATTCTTGGGTATTTATGAGAGCTACATAATGAAACGACACGTAAAAAGATCCGACTAATAGCAAAAAAGTTATGGCCTAAAACCGAGGCAAACTGCAGGTTTTGGCACTTGTTGGTAATGCAACGATGGTTTCTCGCAGATACCTGAAATTCTTCAAATTTATACTTCTAAACAACCACAACAAAATTGGAGTACATGTATATTGGTCAAGTAGTTTTTGGGAACTTCCAATTGTTTATTCCAAAACACCTGTTTTCCGGCCATCACTAGTAGTTTATTGAGCAATATAATATACAGGGTTAGTTCAAAAGGAATTTTATAGCTAAATACACTAGTTTACCTTGCCGATATGGATCTCAAACCATTCCGGAAGATAAATGTTATTTTTATGCAAAAAATGGGTTACGTTTTTTCTTCTAAACAAATTCAAACATTTCATATTTGTGAGTAATTCGCAACAAAAGACACACATTCGATTTATATAAAAATGTGTATAGTAATGTATGTTTTTCGAATATCGTAGCGCATTTGTCAATACACAATAAACTCCAATTTTGTTGTTGTTATTTAGAAGTATGAATCCTACGGATTTGAAGAATTTCAAGTAGTTGCGTGACATTATCGTCCTATTACCAACAGGTGCCAAAACCTGCATTTTGCCTCGTTTTTCGGCAATAACATTTTTGCTATTAGTCGAATCTTTTTACGTCTCTACATTTTGTAGATCTCATTAATACCTAAAAATCTGATATGAAGTTTTTTCGTTCTTGTCAACACTTTCGATTGAATCCAAAAAAACACATTTTCTCATTCTTTGTTGTCAAATAAAAAGTTTTCCCTTGAAAAACTTGCACCAATAAAACCAGACTTTACAATTATTTCGGGGAAATTTGTTAATATGATTAGACGTTTTTAGATCGTGTCTCTTTCAAGCACCAAAATAGCAGCATGGCTATGGAACCCAGCCCTTGCATTTTTGCAATTTTGGCCTAAGAGACAGAAGGTTAAAAATTGCATACTCTTCGGGAGTCTTATAGAGCAAGGATAAACTTTGATTTAGACACCTGGCTACCTTAAAAATTAAAATTTTTAAAGCAAGTTTTCAAGCATTGAATATACCCATTTTCAGGGTTTTCCTTACATTAAATAGCATAATAACTCGAAAATAGTCAACTTCAGAGAATAGTTACTAGATGCCTTTTTTGTTCAGAATAATCCAGAAACCTTAGAAAAAATTTGTCAGAACAAAGAATATTGTAATATATTTAAAATAATGTTTAAGCAAACTTGAACTGGTTTGCCGCGCGGTATATTGAATGCTTAACTCTCGTTAAAAATTATAATGTTTGACGTTACCAAATATCTGAAGCTGAAGCCTTGCTCCACGAGGTTCCGAAGAGTATTTTAATATCAACATTTAAAGCGATTTTCTCCCTTGTTAAGTCAAAACTGGCAAATTTTTGCAGACTATACACTTTTCGTGACTTCTGATAATGACGAGATGCAGGCAACCAGTTATACTGATAATTGCATTTTATGTTGCAATCTTCATACAGCCGTTACGACCCTTCTGATATATGGGTGCATTGTTGAAGTAAAAAAATGCAGCTACTTGGAAAACGACTGTTGCTTTTCGTCAGGATACTAAAGCTGTTCAATGGACAAAATATTCCGAAATATCAAGCGACAGTCACTTTCGAAACAGGGAAGACTAAAATAAGCATTAAAAATCAATCAACTTAACAGAACTGTGACTGCTTGTAGAGAATAGTTAATGAGAGTATGAGTGACGGTATGGTTAGTTGATGATCAACTAAGTATAAAAGATACTAAATACTATCATTTTACAATGCGATATTCCAGTACGCCAGTTTAATAGCCAGTGTGAGTACATACATATGCGCACCATAAAATATAAATAAACTATCGAGAATTGATAAGAATTTTATGAGATATTCAAAAACCAATCCATGAACCATTATCGTCAAGTGTCTATAGGAAATTTAATGCCTTTAGACTTTGTGATCCTCAGATTATTTTGGTACTCATTCTGTTTGACTAACACACGTCAAATATAAAAAGGGAATTTCGTTTTTAATTCTAATTTTGCGATTATTGTTTTGGTTCTTCAGGGGCAGTCTAGAAAACAGTCTGCTGTTTAATAATTTATTTTCTGTATCTAAATTTTAGTGGAAATTGCATAAAATGTGACAAATGCCCGTGTTCGATAAGAATAAAACATAAAATATGCAATACATTTATTTTTTTACAAGTGTCTTCCCTTGAAACTTATTGTTTGTTCAAGCTTAATTTAGCATGTCTGCTACAATTACATACTTTAAAACTACAATAATTACATAACATACTTAGAAAAACAAAACTTGCTTCTCTAAGAATTTTCTCTATACATGAAATGTTCCTTTACTAATATTTTAAACATCTTTAATTACAAGATGACTTCATATCATCATTTAGTTTATTAAATCAATGCCCGAGAATAATTGTATAATAAACTATTTTTTTTTAAGATGTGCTAACACTCTGAGTCATCCTCAAATTTTAGATTACCATCTTTATAAACCCAAATATTTAATTGAATCCACTCAGTATTTTCATCATTTCCTTTTAGCATATATTTCGTTGTAGAAGTATTCAATTTTACTTTATTTACGTTGAACCAATTCATGATTTTTGGAAAGTCAGAATTTAGCATCTTTAAAGCAGTGTCTATATTTTCATCTGATATGGATAATAATAATGTATCTGCAAACATCTGAATTTTAAAATAATCCAATATATCACAAAGTCATTAATGCATAAAATAAATAGTAGTGGACTTTGTTTAGTACCTTGTGGTACAACAAAAGAAATATTTGTTGAGCTTGATAAAGTAGATCCAATTTTGGTTTTTGGACGTCTATCAATCAAGTAGATTTGTAGAATTTTGAATACAGATCCTGTAAATCCATCGTGATGCAATTTTTTAAGTCGTTCATCCCTGTCAATAGTTTCAAACGCCCTTTTATTAGGTATTTGTCATAAATCTAACATGTATGTACCACACACTGGATAGAGGCTCTGCAGCACACCGCTCTTCTACTGTAGCAAACTTGAAAAACTGGGCGACAGTCATGATATTAAGATCCAACACCCCTTTGTGGAAAAAAGAAAATAAGTGCAGTCACATGGCAGTTAAAAACGCAAAGGAAAATTTGATGTTAGTTATAAAAGTAGACGTTACTGAAGATGATAGGACCTACTGGACGTAATAAGCGTTTTTCGAATAAGAAAACAAATAGCTGGATAATTCATTTCTTACTAGAGTAATAGTTATTTATGTATCCAGGGCATAAAGTTTGTCTGTGTGCATTAAATTATATCCCAATATGAGAAGCGTCGCGGGCTCTATCACACTGAAGGGTGCTTCTTATGTCCTAGATACATAAAAAATGTTACGAGAGTCAATTTAAAATTGTTGTTTATAGATTTTCAAGGATATTAAAAAAACGTGTGTGGATGAATTTTTTTTTTTTGATAAACGAAAAACCACTTTACATCCTGTACTTCCTGAACAAGACAAATTACAGAAATTATACGTCAAATATAAAAAGCACAACAACATGGGTGCAATAGAATACAAGAAGCATACCACAATAATCAATATCATAGCACTGGTATTTGAAAGCAATGAAATGAATGCAATAATTGTTTGGAAATAAAAAAAAATATCGTGAAAACATGTCGAAAACACAATTGATGCATAGGTACTTATGCATGCAACTTCTAAAAATATAAATGAATAATACTGTTGTTCTAAGATTTCGAACATTGTACGTATATTTGCGGTGTTTTATATGCTTCAAACAGATCGAATATGAATATAACTGAGGTTAAAACAAAAAAAAAATTGGGAAAAAACAGCTCCTTAGGATATCGTGTAAGTAGGCACAATGTAAATCATCGAACATCAAGCACTTTAACTAGTTATATGCCTATACAACCACAAGTCACCCTTTTATCGGATAGAATTAGCTGAAAACGTCAAATTTCAAGCGAAGCACAAACATCATCAAAGGAAAATATCATCTTTGGTATGACCAATAAGTCTCAATGGCATTGATTAACGTATTATACCTGAAGGCAACCACAAACTGTATTTCGTCACAAAAAAAGGATCTGAAAAATCATAGCGCCATCTATGAATCAATAGCCCAACACTAGGTATGTGCTTTCTAGTTCATTTCGGTGAACCAGTTCAATAGCTCGCGCTCACTAAAACGAACTATTTTACACACATTTGTATTCTTTTTTTTGTTGTTAAGATGGATGCTTCACATTCAAATACTCCAAGTAAACTGTCTCGCATAATAGATGTAGGTATGAGATATACACGTTTTCTAACAATCTCAAATAATGTGCTTTTGTTTTTGATTTTATCCGTACAGAAGGTTTTCAATAAATATTACAAACCTAGGTATCCTTAGGTACGTGGTTGAAGAAGAACAGTATCATACCTTTTGGACGATTCTGACCTTGAGGTCTTTGCGCAATTTAAAATCTAGTCGCAGCCGGCATTATCGAACGAGATAAATACAGGGTGGCCCATCCATGTGTGAACGGAATATTACTCATTAACAAGTACATATTGGGAAAATCTATTTTTGACATGTTATACTCGTACATGACATTTGGGGAACATTTCTAAAACATTTCCAATTATACAATTTTGACCTACATATCAAAGTTGTGATTTTTTAAATAAAATGCCTCAAATTTTATTGCATATTTGGATAAACCAATTCAAAAGAAGGAGATTGATACAACATACTATGGGGTTTTGGTAATTAGCTACTGAGATGTAAGGTGTTTTGTCCAGAAAAACCGTCAACTTCGGCAACCCGTAAATCCGCCATTTTGAAATTTGGAGTACTGAATTTTGTATCAAAAAAAAACTTACACACCTCAGCTTTTATCTTATTTGTTACTTCTTTGAATTTTCATTTTTGCTCATACAGGGTGGTCAAAAACGCGAATTGTATTTTTTCTCAAAAATTTCAAATGCATCACCCTGTATATTTGTGCAAGTTTAGATTCAATTTTTTATAAGCTTTTTTTGGTATAAGGTTTTATTCAGATAAAATCACTAGATTTTGAGTTATTAAGCTTTTAATAGAACAATACACCAAAATTAAGGAAAAAAATCACATCCTTCATGGAAACTAGTTCCATATTGCCACACAGCCGTAGTCTTTGGATAAATGACCGTGGCACATCCCTCAGCATGTGTTCCCTTATGTTCGGAAAAGCATCCTTGATCCTTTCCTTCATATTTTCCGGGGTAGATGGTGGATATCTATAAACCTCTTGCTTAACGTAGTCCCATAGAAAGATGTCCATCGGTGTCATATCTGGTGATCTAGGAGGCCAAGATATAGGCCCATCACGACCGATCCAACGATTGTTACTCCAGGTGTCCAAATAGGACAAATATACAGGGTGATGCGTTTGAAATTTTTCAGAAAAACTACAATTTGCGTTTTTGACCACCCTGTATGAGCAAAAATTAAAATTGAAAAAAGTAACAAATAAGATAAAAGCTGAGGTGTGTAAGTTTTTTTTGATACAAAATTCAGCACTCCACATTTCAAAATGGCGGACTGAGGGGTTGCCGAAATGAGGGGTTTTTCTAGACAAAACACCTTATATCTAGCAGTAGTAGTATATCTATAGTAGTTAATTACCAAAATCCCATAGTATGTTATATCAATTTTCTTCTTTTGAATTGGTTTATCCAAAAATGCAATAAAATGTGAATTTGAAAAATCACAACTTTGATATGTAGGTCGAAATTGGGGCACTCTGTATAATGGCCAATATTTAAAAAATGTGTCCTCAAATGTCATGTATAACATCCCATAAATAGATTTTCCCAAAATGTATTTGTTTATGAGTAATATTCCGTCCACACATGGGTGGGTCACCCTGTATATTCATGAGCCGCTTTTACCCCTGAACTGGTGCTAGAAACGAGCAAAATCTACCCCAGATCAGTTGAGGTTTTTAAAAAACGTTTATCTGCCATATGTGTCACGCGAGCGGCGTTTTTCGAACGGTGAGCAAGCAGTCTTGTCAGGCAGAAATTAGACTAGGAGCCAATAAAGTTAAAAAATTATTTATTGTAAATGAAAATTTAAAGTTAATTTACAGTTTCAAATTAATATTGTTTTAATTTATTCATGAGCCGCATTGGGTGATTTTTATTATAAAAGTTAGTTTAATTTTTAATTTTTTTATAAAGCATTTATCATCTTTTTCATAACTTCCAGGCAACCAGTTATACAACCCCCCTCTGCTTACGGTTGTGTTCCGTTCTCGTTCGTTCATCGGAATCGAATAATAACAGTCCTTCGTAGTGAACGAGTTTTTCAAAGAATGATGAACTAGTTCACTTAGTTCAATCGTTCGCTAACAACACACCACGACTGAATATAAAAATGAACTTAGAAATCTACTTTGAAAAAAGTTATAGTGATCAGTTCTGATACTGTATAATAGATGGCGCTAAGAGCTTCAATCCCTTTCTGGCGCCTCTCTAATGCCTATTTTAATTGGGTATCTTCTGGTGGATTGTGTTAATCAATACCATTGCAGCACTCTGCAAAATCCAAATCTATCCGACTACATCGTCAACTCTACCAATTCAAATCACACCAAAACAACAATCTAACAAAAAGGGTGTCGGACCTTCCGACTTTCTGTCGAGTCATCCGCCTTACCAGCAGTATATCACTGACTATCGCCCAGTTCAAGTTAAGCAGCACTTGTCCAATGAACAGCAAAACGTAGCAGAGCAGCGTGTCCCTGGTGCAGGCGTACGTCGTGGCAAGAAGAAACGGCGCGCTGAAGATCAGGCCGCAGCCGCAGATGATTGGGTCGCATCTGCGGTACGTGGGCTTCAGCCATTGGCTGAGCATCGCGCCCAATGAGAGGCCCGCGATACCGGCGACCATCGTGATCGCGCCAAAGATGAACGACGTACTGGAACATGCATGTTTGTTAGGTTAGGGTTGGGACGGCGGTGAGGCATCTGTCAAAAAATCGAGGTTGGAAGGTTGAGGTTATCGATGCTGTCATTGCCTTAGCCGATTTTTGGACTTTTTTGAGAGTGTTTTTGAAAAACAGTATTATCGTAATTGCTCCACTTTGCACTTTGGAGACTTCAATATGAATTTTGATAATCAAGAATTTTATGTAAAAAAATGTCAACAGGTACTGAACTTTCATGGTGTATGGCAAAAAGTTAGTCACTAGACACGGATTATACACTTTTCACGAACTAAGGTCGATTTAATAATAACCAATGAACAGAATTTCAATATTAAGGTTTTACATACTCCAAAAATAAGCGACCATTCATGGATATGTTTCGAGGTGGAAAATATATTTAATGAGAGGGAATCAAGAGAAATCACAACTATTGACTTTGAAACATTACGAGAGTCACTCTTTCAAGCCAATATCACTGAAATTTTTAATGATGCTGACACTTCTCAAAAATTATGGATTGTATGTAGAACTGCATGAGAGATGCACAAACTAGGAAAGAGGTATATCAAAGGAAAGAGCCAACACTCTGGTTTTCACAAATATTTCTAAACTCTAAACTGACGCGTGATAATGACTATTTAAAGTTTATGAACACTCAAACTGAGGAAGATTGGATACAATATAGGAAATCAACAAACATGTGTTTAACAAATTTTAGTAACGAAAAGAAAAAATATTATAAAAACAAGGTCGATAGCACTAAAAATAACAGTAAAATGATGTGGAAGTCACTAAAAATATTGTATCTCCCAGTGGGAAGAATGAATTATCAAGAATGTGCCTTCGAAGATGGTATAGTAACACAAAAAATATTGATTACAGAACGAATGAACACTTATTTTATAGAAAGTATAAACGAGATAGTGGAATCAATCGAAGATAGGGATCCAAATCTATGTCACATGCAAGTTACTTATAATTCTTCTATCAGGCAATTCCAAACAATAAATATCAGCCTTCTTTCAAAAGCTATTACAAGATTGAAATCGAATAGAAATCCTAGTGAACATCTTTCAAAAATGGTTATGAAGGAATGTTTCAACATTATTGGAGAGAAGTTATTGTTAGTGAATCACTGTTCAGTGTATGGCGAAAATTAAAATGTTCTACAATTACTCCTGTTCCAAAAGTACAAAATTCTGAGTTATATACAAACATGCGGCCAATTAATGTACTGCCAGATGTCGAGAAGTTTTTAGAAGGAATCATATATGAACAAGTCATTGAATATATTGAAGAAAATAAGATATTGATAAAATTTCAAGCAGGATTCAGAAAAAAGTATTCTACAGAAACAGCAATTCAAATGGTAGTTGAAGAATGGAGGCGACATATGGATGAAAAAAGTTTGGATTTCAAGAAACCATGAGACTACTGACAGGGAGAAATTGTTAACGAAATTGCAATGCTATGGATTTCAAGGTTCAGTGTTCAACTTATTACAAAATTATTTAATCAATAGAAGTCAAATAATTAAAATTGGCAATACATTATCAAGCATTAAAAACATTTAAATAAAAATAAATATATTAGAATAAATTTTATGCTGAAAGAAGTACAATGGTTAAATATCAAAAAATTCATAGCCTACTTGGTTTTACTTACATAGAAAATTTTATTGTATTGAACAATGAGTGCCAGAATTATTCTACTAGAGGAAGTGTAGACTTTCATTTACAAAACTGCAGTAGCAATATAACGAGCAAGTCAGTATTTCAAAAGGGATTGTACTAATTTGATAAATTAAGTAATGATATTAAGATGTGTGTCAGTTTGAAAATGTTCAAAGGAAAATTGAAAAAATATGTCATGCAAAACCAGAATTCATAGTAGTGAAATTTTGTATAAAAATATGTAGTCTTGAAGACATAATATATTTTGTCATATACTGTGTAATATGGATATTATGGACATCGTAGAATTAATGCTAAATAAATCTAAAACAAACAAACCTCAAAAACATTACAGAACTTTATAACACAAATTTTCAGTTTTCGTCACCCCGTTGTTACCATCAAATGAAAAGATACATTTAAATAAATTTTAACGCTGAATTCAAACATCCTCAAATTGAGATATGAAATGGGCCGCTTGGGATTTCCCGAAGATTCTAACGTCAACTAACAGCGAATTCAAAATCCTCGCACCCGAATTATCTATGTTGTAAGTATTCTTACATATCACTCACGTAGTGGATTTTGAGAATTTTCTCGTGGGCAACCCCCAAAAATATTCAAATATTTATTCATTAATATATAAAAAATATAACATATTGTAAAAAATATGTGCAACGTCACATGAATTATAAGGCAAAATTTCCATTTTCAAGGGAATGAAACACAAATATGACTGTAAAACAATTTTGGTGTCGTGGGAAGAATTCGGAGTAAAACATATAGAAAACAATCTTTAGTAACTTTTACGCGAAATGACGAAGAATTTTTGTAACGTTTATTGCAATTTTTAATGATTTTTATATGAGAGAGCTAATTAAAAACAATACGCAAACTTGTAAATTCCATTATGTTTTACGACACACTAAGTGCAATTTTAACTGTCAATTTCAAATTCAGGGTAACTGCACATTATAAAGCAATTACAGTACTACTAAATTGACTAATTAGATTTGTTAATTAACCCATCTTCATGAGTAATTTAGTTTACAATGCTCATAACAAATCTAGTAGGAGAGAATACTGTTATATTTCAATTAAGAGCGGCACGGCGTTTAGATGCATCAAGAGTCGACACACGCAAATTTTACATTTTCATTTCGACAGAATCATCATCAATCATTTGCATCCAAAAAGAACATTATGAGTGTTTTCAGTTTATCGATTGGCGCTGCTAAACGGGTATTATTTTTACTGCATTATTTAGCTGCAACAGAGTAGCATTGCCCAGATATAGCCAAGTAATCTAGCTGGGTCAAATGCTGCCACATGGTCATGATAGCTAGGCTATAGTTGTCTAGTGGGAAAGTTCACCTTTTGATTCAAGAAAGCAAATACAAACTTAATGAAAAGAAAACATTTGTTACTATCAACATACTCGAAAATTCGGCGAGTTTTAATTCTTAAATATCTTTCCGTCCAAATGTTTGCCACCCCTTCGGACACACTCTTCTGATCGCGCGCGCAAATTCCGAAACACTTTCTTGCAGAGTTCCGGAGTGATGTTTATTTCACGTCGAATGTTGTCTTAAAGCTCCTCCAGTGTTCCTGGATTATTGGAATACACTTCTGACTTTAGATAACCCCACAAAAAATAATCGCATGGCGTGAGGTCGGGTGATCTAGGAGGCTAGTGAATGTCTCCAAACTTCGATATAACTTTTTGACGAAAAAGTGCTTTCACCGGCCCAATAATACAGCTAGAAGATATAGCGCACCAAACTGTCACCTTTGGACTATGCAGCTGTTGATGTTTCTCTTTTGAGTTCGTTGGTGCCCAATATCTGCAATTTTGCTTGTTCTCATGACCGTGTAAGTGAAACTGGGCCTCGTCACTGAAAACAACGATCTCGAGTCTGCACTACGTAGGAAAAAGATTCTCAACATCCGTTCAGCACAAGATTTCCGTAATACGTAATCACTTTCCTTTAAAACATGGACTCATTGGATTTTATAAGAATGAAAACCCAGTTTTTTCTTCATTATGCCATGCAGTGTTGACCTAGGGGTTCCCAAAGCAGCGGAATACTTCTGTACAGAACGCTGAGGATTTGTAATGACCCAATCACTTACTCGACACACATTTTCTTCGGTCAATACAGTATGTGTGGGTTGACTAAGAGTAGAATCTCTTAATCCACTTTTTCAATACGTTCTTATTTGGTCGGCGAATGTTGTATCGTGTACAAAATTTTCGAAGGACAGCTGCCTATGAATCACCACTCTTAAAGTAAGCCTCGATAGCAAAAGCACGTTGTGCTCCGGTCCAACGTTCCATTGTGACTATTTAACCCGCACGCCGAACGCGTCGATCAAAGCCTCTCGCCACTTCCTCGCGTATGCGGTTGCCCCGTAATGCAAATTTGAAATATGAACTGTAGTAATCAAATATTGCTAGTTTAGATGCTCCATATGGAAGAAAAGTTGCATAACTTGCCTTCTAAAGTTTAAAAGCAAAATTTCGTGCCAAAACGGGACCTAATAAAGTTCTAGAGTAACTAGCATCTTTCTTCTGCCATATAAGGTTACGATTTTCATTCACTGACCTGACGTTGACAGTTTCATGATAAATATTCTACATTGTATCGAAATCCGGAATAAAAATGAAATCCTACTGTCCGATTACTGCGAGAAATCCGAAAAAATTTAGTTAGTTGTTTTTCAACCTACATGAGGAAAAACTGCATCATCCTTAAAAAATGGATGCAAATAAAATATTTTACAGCTATTACAAATTCAATTTTGTCTATGTAGAGGACGCCTTATTGTGTTAAACCTACTTCAAAACATCGACAGAAAAACATGGGGATTTATAATCATGGAAAACAAATAAATTTCAGATGAATCTGCAGGAACCATCTTTACCAGGTTTCTCCATCTCTTGCAAGCAACTTCGGTTTTTCATTTTATAAAATCTGTTTTTTCCAGTAAGCATCGCGCAATTCTTGATCTGTTTTGGTTGCATCAAGGCTGAGAGTGTGTAAACATTTTGGTGGCGTCAAAATTTCCAATCTTTTAAACTCAATAGCACAATTGGTGTTATATGAAAACAGCGAGGAGTTCCGGAGTGATGTTGTTTATTTCTGGTCAAATATTGTCTTTAAGCTCCTTCAGTGTTCGTGGTTTGTTGGAATACACTTCTGACTTTAGATAGCCCCACAAAAAATAATCGCATGGTGTGAGGTCGGGTGATCTAGGAGGCTAGTGAATGTTTCCAAACTTCGATACAACTTTTTGACGAAAAAGTGCTTTCACCGGCCCAATAATACAGCTAGAAGATATAGCGCACCAAACTGTCACCTTTGGACTATGCAGCTGTTGATGTTTCTCTTTTGGGTTCGTTGGTGCCCAATATCTGCAATTTTGCTTGTTCTCATAACCGTCTATGTGAAACTGGGCCTCGTCACTGAAAACAACGATCTCGAGTCTGCACTACGTAGGAAAAAAGTTCAACATGCGTTCAGCACAAGATTTCCGTAATATGTAATCACTTTCCTTTAAAACATGGACTCATTGGATTTTATAAGAATGAAAACCCAGTTTTTTCTTCATTATGCCATGCAGTGTTGACCAAGGGATTCCCTAAGCAGCGGAATACTTCCGTACAGAACGCTGAGGATTTGTAATGACCCAATCACTTACTCGACACACATTTTCTTCGGTCAATACAGTATGTGTGGGTTGACTAAGAGTAGAACCTCTTAATCCACTTTTTCAATACGTTCTTATTTGAGACATCTCTTGGTCGGCGAATGTATCGAGTACAAAATTTTCGAAGGACAGCTGCGTATGAATCACCACTCTTAAAGTAAGCCTCGATAGCAAAAGCACGTTGTGCTCCGGTCCAACGTTCCATTGTGACTATTTAACCCGAACGCGTCGATCAAAGCCTCTCCCCACTTCCTCGCGTATGCGGTTGCTACGTAATTCAAATTTGAAATGTGAATTTTCCCAGTGGACAAACTGTAGTAATCAAATATTGCTAGTTTAGATGCTCCATATGGAAGAAAAGTTGCATAACTTGCCTTCAAAAGTTTAAAAGCAAAATTTCGTGACAAAACGGGACCTAATAAAGTTCTAGAGTAACTAGCATCTTTCTTCTGCCATATAAGGTTAAGATTTTCATTCACTGACGTTGACAGTTTCATGATCAATATTTTACATTCTATCGAAATCCGGAATAAAAATGAAATCCTGCTGTCTGATTAATGGGAGAAATCCGAAAAATTTCAGTTAGTTGTTTTTCAACCTACATAAGGAAAAAGTGCAAATAAACTAAAAATTCACACAAATTCAATTTTGTCTATGTAGAGGACGCCTTATTGTGTTAAACCTACTTCAAAACACCAACAGAAAAACATGGAGATTTATCATCATGGAAAATGAATAAATTTCAGATAAATCTGCAGGAACCACCTTTACCAAGTTTCTCAGTCTATTGCAAGCAACGTCGATTTTTCTTTTTATAAAATCTGTTTTCTCCAGTAAGCATCGCGCCAATCTTGATCTGCTTTGGTTGCATCAAGGCTGATATTGTGTGAACATTTTGGTGGCGTCAAAATTTCCAATCTTGTAAACTCAATAGCCCAATTCGTATTATATGAAAACAGCGAGGTTATTACGATACAATTATTGAAAGTATTTTTATGTATTTTCATCATGTAATCCGATTAATATATCGGCAAAGTCGACCGATATTGTCTCTCTCTCTAAGACTGAGAGCAAACCTAACCTCAACCTTCGACATCCGTCGCAATTTTTCAACAACTGAACAAAATATCTGAAACAAACACTATAGTCATCCAAACCGCGCATCCCACTTCTGAGTGGCCAAGCCGACTTCTCAACGCTATGTCTCGATTCTGCAAACTTCCTCTTACCAACAGAATATCCGCCACGATGGACCAGGTCAGGTTGAGGAAAAACTCTGCAAAAAAGACCAAAGCAAAGGTCGCTTTGGAGTTGTACCTGGCAGTCAGGCAAGCGCAGAATACCAGTGGGGCAGACACCAGCATGCCCACCGAGCAGATATGGGCGTCTATGCGATGGTACTTATGACGCAGCCTCTGGGCCAGGATGCTGCCGGCGGGTACTCCAAGGAGGCCGGATATCATCGAGATTATGCCGAAAGTGTACGACACGCTAAATATTATATTTTTTTTAAATTTGGCATTTTTTAGAACGTAGAACTTCAAAATTAAATCACCCTTGTTTATCTGGTCGAATCAAATCACTTACATTTCAAAACCTCTCACCACGGATTTATCGAAAGCCACTCGTTAAAGGAAAAAACGCCGAGACATGTCAAAAGATTTGTCAGGAGGGACGGCTACTTTACCTTTCACCCTCTCCTCCCAGGGTCATCACCTTAAAAATTTGAAGTGACAAGGGGTATCGAGTAATGGCTTGTTTGAAAGGTCTTTCAAAGTCCATTATTTTGACGTTTGATTTTTTAAAATCAGTCGATTCGTTTTCGAGAAAATTAGAAAAATCTGTATTTATCTTAATTTGTTCAGATATAAAACAAAAGCGTACAAAAATATCACTTTTTATTTCAATAAGTGTTCAAAACGTTGCCCGTTATGGTTTGCCAAATCTACAATTCGTTTATAATTTAAAACAGAAACTACCAAAGTAAACAGTAATTCGGAAGATAAGACGTGGCAACAATCAAATAACAACCTGATTTTTTTTACGCATTCTTTTCATCAACACATAACCTGGGCGAACTGTATTTATGTTATACCTGCTTAGTTATTTGTTCCTAAGGGGAAGAAAGAATTTAATTTGCTGCCAGCATCTGTGTTGATGAAAAGAATGCGGAAAAAATTCGGGTTGTTATTTGGTTGTTGCCAAGTCTAATCTTCCGAATTGCTGTTTATGTCAGTAGTTTCCGTTTTAAATTATAAACAAATTGTAGATTTGGCGAAAACTGAAGGGCAAAATTTTGAACACTTATTGAAATAAAAACTGATATTTTCGTTGTGAAGATTTTCTCGAAAACGAATCGATTGATTTAAAAAAATCAAGCGTTAAAATAAAGGACCTCGAAAGACCTTTCAAACAAGCTATTAGTCATTTAAAATTTTTGAGGGGATGACCCTGGGGGGCAGAGGGTTAAAGGGGGTGAAGAAGTTTTTGGTTAAAAAGTTGTCCCCATTGACAAATCTTTTGACGTGCCTCGGCGTTTTTTCCTTTAATCAGTGGTTCTCGATAAGTTTTCAAATGAACACCCTGTATGTTTGAAATTCTTCTTTATTGTACAACGTTTCAGTCCCAAGTACAATTCAAACAAAATAAGGAAATTATACAGAGTTCTTAAAGTTGCGTTTTGCCTTTATAACGGCATATAGTTACTTATAAATATAAACAGATTTTCGTTGTAGTTTTCTAACTGAATGTCAATTTTAAAGAGGCAACTTTTCCATATGAAAACTTCATATGAACGTACGTCCTAATCGTCTTAACTTTTGATATACATGGTGGAACGTTTTCAATATACGTAGAAAGTTACACAAAACTTTTCTATTAAAAAAAAAATGGTATCTGTAAATTTCTTTTTGCAGTAATTCAAGTGTGACTGCTTTTTGATTTAGGGCAATTATCATCATTTATTTTAGGCTCGACAACTTTATGATCCGAAATCACATTTAAATGACTACTGACTTTACAATATTCACGCCTGTTGTGTGGTAGTGATAATACTTATTTAATTCGAAAAAATCGATAACTTTGAAATTTTCCCAGCCTTCGATTTTTACACTTCACTAGCTTTTTCTTAAGTGAGTAGAGAATACTTCGCCAGTAGCGCGGGAAGTAAATCGCGTTAATCATAGCAATTTGAATATCTTTTCATGAACAGAGATGACTTTAATGATACTGATGATGATTTTAAAGTAAGTTTCGTTTGGTGTAACATTTACCTCCAGTTTTTTTGGATAAAATTACAGTTAGATAAAATCAAAACCATGCAGTGATCCTATTTGATTTTTTCATGTTTTTTCCACATTTTTCGCCTTTTGCCTTCATAGCAATTTTCTTGCTTTGCGTATTTCATTTTAAAGTTCTACCCACCAAAAAACACTTGTTAGCATTCAAATTTGAAAAAAGAATATTTGTTTTTGATATATAGAACTCAAAACTGCGTCATTTGTGAAACATTTTTTTTAAACCGTAAAAAGCATTTCTGAAAAACAATTTTTATCAAAGCTTTCTTTTTTTTTGTATTGGTATACATCCTCACCTATCTGAATCAACTGTTTGTCCTCCAGCTTGCAGCATGATGCCCATTTCGATGAAAGTGGGTCCCCACCAAGCCAAGGCACCGGCGACGAAGGCAACACAGGTGAAACCGGCAGTGGAAAACATAAAACTACGACTGCAAAAAAAATATATATGTATATATGTATGTATGTATGTTACCGGCAATCTGTATAATCCGGTATTCTATAGAATACCTAGGTAATATATAGAATACCTAAGACGTGTAGGTAACGTATGAAACATTATTTGTTTTATACTTTGCCTAGGTATTTAATACAATACCGAATGCGCAGGCGGTAATGTATGTAAAAGACGAAACGGTTTTGCTCAAGGGGAAGAGGTGGCTTCCAGCAATATGAGCTGCAAAACAGCTAAAAGACAGCTGCAAAACAAAACTTGAGGATTGTGAATGGTGGTTCACCGCAATGCCTTCCCACGCTGAGGGTTAAAATCCCATAAGAAAATGGACGGGGTAGCACCCAAACCAAAACAACTAAACGAAAAGTACCACATAAAAAGGGTACTACTCTATAAATTGGTGTTTGGGGGTCTACTATCCCAGAATCTGTAAGTTAACGAAACGATGCCCACACCACAATCTCAGCAGGAAAATAAAAAAAAGTTGATTTCAATAAAGTTGATTTTAAATAATATAACTTGTTTTATTTGCCTGACATTTTATAGGTATGATGATCAAGATCTATTTATTTTACACATTGCCGGTGGAACAGCAGGTACTCTTTACAATCCCTAGGAATTGTATCATTACCTAGATAAAGTATGTAATGGATAATAAAATTCATAATATTTCATACACTGCCTGGGCAACCCATTGCCTAGGTATTGTATAGAATACCTGAATTATGCAGATTACCGGTAACATATATAAACATACATAACTATTCATTTAAGATATTTATAGGTTTTTTCACGGTTTTGGAGGTTCTGTTTGTTGCAACATTCCATGAATAAAATAATATATAGATGTATATAGTATATATATTTTTTTTAAATTGAAGGTGTTACATTATATCCAATAGTGAGAAAAGAAGAAAAATTATTTTTCCATTTTCAACCAGATTGCAGGATGTTTTAATACAAACATTTTTCTTCTTTTATTTCTTTCAAATTTTGACCGAACTATCCGGAGAAAACATACAATGGATAGATCTGCGTAGTGCAAGGTTATTAGGGATACACTGAGGCATAAAAAACGTAAAAAGGTTAGCAGTTCCAAAAATGCGGTCGATTTTTCAAAATAAGGCAAAAAGTCACTTTTTTAAATCGATAATCAGGAAACAAAAAAAGTTTCCTGCAATATTGCATTCAAGTTTTATAAGAGACTTATTCCAGTTTTCGAAAATACCCTTATAGTCTCTGTACGATCGCTGGTTATTGAGATATCAGTGGTCGATGACAGAAGGATCCTTTTCTCATTCAAAGTCGGATATCTCTGCGCCAAATGATCGTATCGAGATTTTAAAAACAGGATTCTGAAGCTGACTAAACGAGCTATCTGATATGGCGTAACAGAAAACGAAGGCAAACATTTTTCAAACATTTTTTTCTGCTAGAATTGCATGAGAACCGTTGCTCTTAAAATTTGTTTGCTAAAAAACCGGAAAACTAGGATTTTGAAGCTTCAAAGTGCGTTTTTGAAAGCCTAGATACAATTTTTCACCGAAATACAGCCTGTCGAAAAATAATCGAAAATTTTTGATTTTTTGTTCCCTTATATATATACATTACTAATAAGGACTCTTAGTTCAAAAAATATTGCAGGATTTCCAAAAGCTCAAAAACAATACTACCGAGATCGTATAATTTTCTGGAAGCTTGGTGTTATAATTTTATTCGATTATTCAAGAATAGAATGAAAAATGGATAACGAATATGCCAAGAATTGAGACACGCCAAATCATCAATCTAAAACGAAATTGGAATAATGTTTTTACTATTATGGGTTTAAAAAAGACTACCAAAAATACCTCCCTGACACTGATGCAAGTAGGTTTATTTAAATTTTGTGGTGTAATCTGAATTCGACCTACTACAAATTCAATCAAATATCACTTAGCTTTTGTGTATTTGATTGTTTTTTTTTACTTTTTTATAATCAATACTAAGGAAACAAAGAAAAGTTTCCTCAAATATTGGAATCAAGTTTTATAGGAGATTTATTCCAGTTTTCAGAAATACCCTTATATTCTCTGCACGATCACTGGTTACCGAGATATCAGTGGTCGATGACAAAATGGTCCTTTCTTCATTCAAAGTCAGATATATCCGCGCCAGATGATTGTATCGAGATCAGGATTCTGAAGCTGACAAACGAGCTATCTGATACGGCGTAACAGAAAACGAAGGCGAACATTTTTCAAACATTTTTTCTTGCGCTATCTGCTAGAATTGCATGAGAACCGTTGCTCTTAAAATTTTTCGGCTAAAAGACCTGAAATAAGAATTTTAAAGCTTCAAAATGCTAGATACCATTTTTCACCGAAATACAGTCTATTGAAAATCACCGAAAAAAATATTTTTTGGACACTTAGTTACAGAAATAGGTTGGCACCAGTATATCAAATTCATGATGCTCGGAACAAAAGTATTGCAGGATTTTCAAAACCTCAAAAAATTCCGACAGAGATCGTATAGTTTTCTGGGACCTTGGTGTTAAAATTTGCTCCCTCGAGAGATAAAACAAAAAAATTCTATTGGATTATTTATAAAAAGTGCACGCCAAATTATTGATCTGAAACGAAATTCAAGCAAGTTTGTTACTTATTTTCCATGTTTGTTTGGCCAATGAAACCATATAGGTGTAAATGTATATGCTTTCATTAGACAGACAAAGATGAAATCTACAGGATCGGTTTCACATATTGCTTCAATCCAACTACTACTATTACTATGCGTTCAAAAAAGAATACCAAAAGTGTATCCCTGATGAAGACACTTATGCAATTAGGAAGTTTGAATTTTGTGATGTAATTTGTAATTCCAATTCCAAGCCAAAATTACTACCCTGATCATATGGTAGACAACACACATAGACAGAACAAGTCACTGCTAGAAAGTACGCGATAAAAAATTTACAAAAGCCGTAATCTGATAAAAAGAATTGCAATCTGACATTGCAGTTACGTATTACAAATAAGACTTACTTCTGTACAATATCTTTAATATCTTCAGTCCAAGGCGTTGGTTCCATATGGCCACTACCTTCGCTCTGGCCTCTTTCAGGTTCTTCCAGAGCTATGATGATCAGCACTACAGCGATCAGACCTAAAGCTGGGGTCACACGTAGCGCCCATTGCCACTTGTGGTCCATGGCTTTCACTGTCTCGCTACCTACTATGTAACCTAAACCGCTGCAAGAAAAGAAACATATTTTTTTGTAATCGTCTAAACTTTCAAATTTCAGAAATCAAAATTATTGCGCTGGACAAATGTTGGGCGCAACTCGTTGAGGCAACCACTAGAAAATCGAAAATCGTTTTTTCAGTTACCTGATAACGATCCTGTTTTCAATTCCTCTTCCAGCAAAATATTTTTAAAGCGTAAAATATAACACGAAAACGAAATTCGGATAGACTGGAAAAAAATGCATGGTTTTCGAGATGCATATGCGCATCATGTAACAATCAAAACAGGTCTTTTTCTCTAACGATTTGCAAAAATGTTTTACGTCCTTGGCATAGTAGTAACATTATATAAAAATTTCATCGAAATCCGAGCGGTACTTCTTAAGTTATAGACGGTTAAAAGATTAGCGAACAAATCGACAGACAGACACACCGATGGAAATGAGTGACATGGTTTTTAGTGATGTAACGTACATGTCATAGAACATCCAAAAAACAATATTTCAATTTCGAAAATTTTCACAATTACAATACTTCCGCAAGTAGGCGTGGGAAGTAAAGAACACGATTTTCAAAATTTTGTTTGGCACGATTTTCGGCATTCCCAAAATTTTTAAAGCTACTGCAATGTTCAGGATTTTAATAATATTCAGGATTATGAAACCTTGAACATTTCGGGAATTTTGTGTATATTAGATTTTTGGATTTTTTTCCGATTACAAATCTTCGTCGTTGGTCTGGGAAGTAACTAAAATCAATCCCAGAATTCCATTATATGCAAACGAGAACAGTAATTCCCAAAATGTGATTAAAAAAGGTGTACATGTGTTTCTTCTACTACGTCCCAATAGATCTAGAGTCTTTCTTCAATATATCGGTGATGATTTCCAACCCTCTACACCAAAATTAGAGTTTTAAACATTACATCGTCTTTATCATGTCAACAGGTTTTAAATAACACCACGGCGGTTGCTTCAAAAACCCAACATAAAACATGTACTGCAGATAGTAAGTACGGTTTTCCGTTTCAAGCCGAGACAATCCTGCGTTCTACCATGGCCCTTTCTTGCAACACGATAAAGAAACCGGTTGAAATTATGGAATTCTTTATGTTTTGAATCGCTGTTGGAGGCCGCACATACGTCAATTCTTGCTTAATTCGAAACGCAAGATGTACTTCAAAAGAATATGGGGAGAATTCACGAACCATCCGTTTTTGTTGTCAACTCTATAGTACAGGCGCGGCTATATGAATCTAGCCAGCAAACGCTAGAATATTTACATACTCGCGTACTGAATTAACAAAGAATTAAAGTGTGTGCAGGTTCTTATGGCGTGCTAGTCAGCGTGGGTGTTCTTTTATATGGCTTTATCCCCTTGGTGCGTTCACGATTATAGGCTATTCGGTTACAGAATCAACGTACATATTTTTATTTATCCAGGGAAATCTCTAAACGTCCATATACCTAGCTATAAATAGCGACTTTAAGTGCTCAATATTTCTGAATCGACAATGAAACTCACAGGTATTACTTTCTATGTGGTGTGGTGGCTAAAACTGAGTATATTCACCTGAATGATTTGACATTGTTCATGTAGGTTTTACTTTTAGGCTTTATGGCAGCGAGCATAATCGTTTTTTACAACGGAGCAGCCGCAAAGGCGGATTATTCCCTAAAGCCTGGCTTCTACAGACAGTGATAACTTTGAGGTGCCTGATTCTAACTGAATTTCGACCGTTGAAATTAATTTCTATGGCGCCTTGCCAACATACATTCGATCCGCTATGATCATTTCGACAATAATAATTTGAATGCAGAAAGTCGCCAGTCAGGTGTCAAAATGATCATGATAAAAAAAAACGATAAAATGGCAACTTGTTGACTAAGTAGGCTAGTATGCAAATAGTTCATTCCGCGCTTGCTACAACTGAGCAAGAAGTGAACAACAGCTGGTTCCAAGTTGACGTCCTGTTGGAAAACGTACATAATGTCAAAAAAAATTCGACAGTGTCACATTCCAAGTTACGTAATAATAATAACAATGTCTTTCTTCCCACAAAAAATGTTGAGGGCGACCGGATTCTCAGGAGGGTAGGGCACTCCCAAGGTCGCTCATACCTCTAGCTTAGAGCCTTATGGTTAGTCGTTCCTACACTTCTAGGCCGCCTTTATAGCCTCCTTGATTTTCATAGTCTTTTATCTCCTTCAGAAAGGCAGAGGTAATTCTAGATTTCTACTGTTCCGTGTCAGCGCGTATTGTGAGGTTATGTTTTTGAATCTTAAAAAATTTAATAAAAGTCTTATCAACCTGAAATATCTCCGATCTCAAAAAGAAAACAACCACAAAATAGAGTGCTTACATGAAGCAGCGAAGGACAGGAAGAACTATGAAAATCAAGGAGGATATAAAGGCGTCCTACAATTGTAGGATGTTTAATCGCATATACCTTGGATTTTACTAATTTGAAAAGTACTGTTCCGATATTGCTGAAATTTTCACACAAGTTTTTGAAAATCGGTCCAGCGTCGCACATACGGGTATTTGAATTAAAAACAAAACTGGTATGTGCCTAAGATGCCGAAACAGATGCTAGAAAAAGCCCCACACTTTTTTGTTTACCCAATGCTATTTCTCGTCAGTAGTCTCGGTGCGAATTTGATCATTCTTCATTGCTCACGTATCTGTTCTCAGCGTATTTATTGTGACAATTTTTCAAAGTTTTTACAAGTTTTTATGAATCGTGTACCAGTTTTTCAGTATGGACCTTTCTGCGGCAGGTATGTACAACCTATTTTGTCAATTTTAATTGTAATATTGGCTGATTTTTTTAGAAAAAATGACGTTTTCGCGGAATCTATACTAAGTGACATATAAATCCGAACACCCAGTTTAAATGGTTTTATTTTAATAAAAGTTGGTGAATGTATTTATCTTACTGTAAATAACAAGTGAAAAAATTTTCAGCCTTATCAGTTGGACATTCCGGTTTTTATACTGCTTTTTTTTAATTCACTAACGCTCTAAAAATGAATATTACAGCCGCAGTAAAGAATCAACGTTGGCGGATTTTGGTTCTTGACATCCTTTACGATCGGTTACGATGCCTAGAGTACGGAGACCTGTGAAACTTAGTGAGTTTGATAGGGGCCGTATAGTGGGACTTAGGGAAGCTGGACTTTCTTTTCGGGCAATTGCAGTTAAAGTGCAAAGAAGTGTAGAACCTGTGGTTAGGTATTGTCAGGCATGGCTTCGAGAAGGCCGTACGCAAAGAGCAAGGGGCACTGGACGCCGCCGTAGAACAACAGACCGTGAAGATCGCCGCCTAAGATTATTGGCCTTAAGGGACCGTTTCTCCACTACCAGGTCCATTGCAAATGAATGGTTTGCAGAACACGGAAGACCTATTGGCATGCGAAGTGTTTACCGACGAATGAGAAGTTTTGGCTTGTTTTCATACCGGCCACACTGGGTCCTCCCTTTAACTCGAGAACACCGACGTAATCGCCTTGAGTGGTGCAGACAACGGTCACTCTGGGATCAGGAATGGAACAGTATTGTCTTTAGTGACGAGTCTCGATTTTGTTTAGGCATGCACGATGGTCGTGCCAGGGTTAGAAGGCGACGTGGTGAAAGAAGGAATCCACAGTTTTTTGTTGAAAGGCATGTTCATCACACTGTTGGAGTTATGGTTTGGGGTGCTATAGCTTATGGTTCCAGGTCACCTTTAATCTTCATCAGAGGTAACATGAACGCGCAGCGTTATATCCACGAAGTTCTAGAACCCCATCTTTTACCCTATCTTGACACCCTGGCAGATCCAACTTTCCAACAAGATAATGCCCGACCACATGTTGCAAGAGTCACAATAGACTTCTTTCAACATAATGATGTCACATTGTTACCATGGCCACCAAGATCTCCCGACTTATTCCCAATTGAGCACGTGTGGGATGTGATGGGTAGGAGATTGCTCAATTTGCAACGTCCTCCTCAGACTCTAGAAGCACTTCGAGAGGAGTTGGTGGTTGCCTGGAATGAGATACCACAGGAGGACATTGACCACCTGATCAGAAGCATGCCTAGGCGCGTTGGAGAATGCGTAGCACATCAGGGTGCATCCACACATTATTAAAGGTCAAAGGGCTTTAAAGCAGTGCAATCATTTTGAAATTTTTATCATTTACTTATTATGCTTCATTAAGTACGGAGGAAATTGGAGATACAAAAGGAATTTAGATCCCAAATGGGTCTTATAGTTGATATTCCAAAAGCTGGATTCGGAAACAGCAATGCTGGGAATACCAGTATGAGAATTTTCTCCTTTTTCATCTTAAAGTACTTTAAGAAGTTATATCAAGCGGCCATAAAATAGACAAACAGAAATTTGAAATATTTTGTTTGGACACGGCACAACTGTACATTGAATTATATTCGTGACACCAACTCTTCACAAAATACTGCTCCATAGACCCATTGTCAATGAAAAAACTTTATTGCCCATAGGTATGATGTCAGAAGAGCCCGCAGAGGCTCACAATAAACACTGTTGAAATGTTCCTGCCTGAAGAACCGATTAGCTAGTCTAATTTGTCTGGTGATAATGATGATGATGAAGACTCTGCACCAGAGATAAGAGACTATTTAGATGATTTTTGGTTGGCATCTTCTTAGTAACAACTTTTATATTTTTTTAATAAATATTTTCACGTTTTTCAACTATAATCATTTTATTTCTTTACCTGCAGTTCTTAGTAGCAATATTAGCCATAACAGAGCTAATTATAGTTTTTGAAGTAACTTAAAATGAAACAAAAGTTTTGTCCGGATTTTTATTTCAAATACCCGTATGTGCGTCGGCGGAGTGAGAGGAAAAAACGAAAAAAAAAAACAAACTCCTTTTTTTGATGTTTCAGAGGCTTAGGATAATTTTTGGAAAACTTTTTGTAGGAACTGGTGAACCTGCGGCGGTGTCGACACTGACGCACCGCTACAGGAAAATATTT